AAAACACGAATATCTTATCTTTAGGAAGGTTTTTAATGAAATATCTAGGAGAGAAACATAAGAGAACGTCGCGAATGACTACAAGACAGACGCGAACGTCTTATTGTTTGTGAGAACAATCCTGTAAGACTCGTTAAAGGTGTGACTCAACCTCTGCTTGATTTCAATAGGCAGATTTCAATGCGTTGTTAACCTATTGTCGGCCATTCACTCAGCTCCTATCCATAAATGCCTTCGTCAAATCCGGCGACAACGCAAAACAGCTTCCCCTGGTTTTTGTTGTTATGTCGGGAAAGAAGAAGAAGGATTACAAAAAGGTATATCAGATTGTGAAACACAAACATGACAAATATCGTCAATGATTGACTCSAACTAAACATATTTCTTTTTTTATTGTAGGTTTTACAAGAAATTATCGGCCTTTTGCCACAGGAGCCATCTGTACGAAAAGTTACACTAGATTTTGAAAAAGCAGTATGGGCAGCCCTGAAGATTGTTTTACCAGAAGTAGAGCTTCAAGGATGTGCGTTCCACTGGACGCAGGCTATATGGAGAAAGGTAAAAGTGAAATCATAGTAATGCGATATTTTTGAGATAGATTTACTTATTATTCTTTTGTTTTTACAGATACAAGAACTTGGTCTTCAGCCCGCATACCAGCAAAACGAACTTATCTACAAGTACTTGAAAAAGATCATGGCCCTTCCTTTCCTGCCCCATAACGAGATTCCTCGCCAGTTTTATAGACTGCAGACGCAAGCTAACGGAAGAACCCTACAAGAACTATGCCAGTATGTGGACGATCAGTGGATATCTTCGACCATCCACGAACCCAAAGAGTGGAGTGTTTTTGGTCAGCCTATTAGGACCAATAATGACCTTGAAGGATGGCATCATGCTTTGAACCGGCGGGCCGGGAGAAGTCACCTTCCCTTTTATGAGTTARTTGAGCTACTCCATAACGAAGCTAGGGTATGTGAACTCAGCRTCAAGTTGATCAGCAGTGGCAAGCTCAAGCGAATTCAAAAGAGAAAGTATCGAAATCTACAAAGGAAAATATTTGACTTATGGGAGAAATTTGAAAGTAATGAAAAATCAGCGGTCCAACTGTTGAAAGCCTGCTCTGCCCTGAATGGCCCCTCTAGAAGTCAATAAACCCATATAGATATTATATCTATATAAGGAATATTTTAGAAATAAACTTAATACATTTGATAAATGTCAATAAT